CCCCGCTAAGCTATTTAGGGAATTTTCCCTAATTGAAATTCGGGGAATCCCCGCGAAGTTAATAGGGTATTTTCCCTAATTAAAATTCGTGGAATGAGAAGGGCTGAGTTGATGTTTTGTCGGCTGGATGAGGATATTCCTTATTACCCTGACGTAATTTACGAAATATTTTACAAGATAGACCCCGACCACCCCCTCTTGGGATGGATTCCAAGGCGACCGACGCAATAATATGTGTTTCTATTATGTCATGATAACAGCTGCGAGCTTTGACCGTGGTTCCTATTTCTATAGGGTTTTTTACTTTCACGTGGCGGAAGTGGCGTACCTAGAAAGAATAATGAGTTGTTCACGTGTAAAACAATAGACAACATTCCGATCATACCCCTTCGCCTTAACAAACAAACGAGTTTGAAAGTAGATTTGATATTTACTTTTTGAAGGCTTCGTTGTTACGGCGCTCAGGAATGTGCTGACGTCAATGATAGCTTCAGATATAAATATGAGAAGTTCGAAACGATTAACATACTAATGCATCAGTCCGATGAAGAACTACTCGAATTTGACGAATATGATTTAACCAACATTTCACAAGGCTCCGGARTTCAAGTACCACCAGCAAGAAAAAGGGAAAGTCTAGATGATTTCTTGATGAATCTTAAGATGAAAGACACCATTCCAAAGCAAGACGTTAGGAGGATGTGGGCAAAGAAGTCGGATGAAAGAGACAAGGCCTGTAAACAACTTAGAGACGCAAAATCCAAGATAGAATATTGGATGGCGAAGGCAAGGATGCTGGAGGMAGTAGTCAAGAAATGCGAGCAAGATTTACMWGGCCTAGAAGGTCGCGTGATGGCTGATATTATGACTCGATAAAGGCTTGAACCTTAGCAATAAGAAGTATTTGTGAGAACATAACATGTAATAATAGGACTTGACGAAATAAAAAATGTGAAACTACTTGATTRCGCATATTTTCTAGACTGGCGTTCGATATGCAAATGAAATCCTGTCTCGCTTTTTTCAAAGCAAATATTTACTGAGCGAGCTTTCTTTGAAGCTCTTCTTTTGCCTCCTGGAAGATCTTTTTGCGAGATTCCTCGGACAAATCTTTTACGACTGTTTTTTTGTTTCTTATGTCGGACTTAAGCTTTTCGTATTTCTCCTCTTCGACCAGGATAATCGAGAATTCTACGTCGTCTATCTTTCTGTCACGCAAAGCCTTTGAGACAAGGTCGGTAATAGTATTTACTTTAGCCCTAGACAGAGCTATTGTCGTGTCGTGGTTTGATATTTTCGTGGATAGCTTTTTCATAATGCCCGTAGCAACAGCCGAAACAATACCACAAACTGCCCCAACACTAGCCAAAGGAACCCCTACGATTACTC